CACAGTAATAGTAAACTGTTTATTAAGTGAATTTGCCACATGTCACTAAGTGATCCTCAGCACTGGAGTTTCTAAGTTTCATGAATGAAGTTCTCTGGAAGGATTCACAAAAATTTTAGAGTAGTATTACGGTAAAATGACGCTGGGTATGAGATCTACTGGTCATGAGTTTTCATTTTGTAGAGTAATAGACAGTAGTAGGGTTGGGAGGGGCAGAAGAGATATTGGCTTTTCTGTCAATAAATTTTTTGAGATCTATGCACAGCACATGATACTCATGGCAGTTGTTGAGTGTCCAACCCAGAAATGTAGAATGCTGAGCTTAACAACAACTGTCATAATGAAACTATACCAGTACTGTCTTTCCTAAACATAATTATATTACTATTCTCAAAGGCCTATTGAGAAATTAGTGCAATACTATATGTAAACATGAATACACATCTCCCTTTTGGGACAACTCTAAAACCTCAGCTAGTATAGGCTTAACTGGTGTGAAACTAATTTCCTATGCAGGACAAGGGTCCTGTCCTTACCCCTGTTGAATTACCAGCCATGTTAGTTCTTGTTCCTTGTGAAAGGCAGCGCTGCTCAAACTGCAGAGCCCTCTTCTGCAGTACTAGGCTGGTACTACCCTAAATTTGGATGCGCAGACTTGCACTGGCCTCTCCTAACACTGGCTGTATACACATGTGAAGGACTACTTTAAATGCAAAACCCCATTTACCAAGTAATCCAACTTGCCCTCTTCACTCCTCTAGCACTCTTTATTTTACCTGCACACCAACAATTTTCATTTGCATCAAAGTACAAATAGAGGACACCTTCCAGCCTTGAAAAGCTGCTTCCTATAAGCTTTCCCTGCCTTTGCTGTCAAGGAACAGCAGTCTCCCTCATTAACAGCAGCTTTTTGAGGCCTGTCAGAAAGCTAGTCCTTAATCCATCTAAGGCAGACCACACTGATACAGGAGGGGGCTATTTTTAAACAACAGTGTCCTGCCATACTAAGTCAACCTCCTGATGACATCTGAGTAATGTTAGATCCAGCTCAAGAAATTCATCATCTCATAGAAAAAGCCAGAATGGTCTTTGACATCTTTGATGTGACTACTTGTATGTCAGTGATTACTCTTCTTTAGTTGAGCTACTGGTTCTCTGAGCTGGGCACTAGTAAGCAGTGACCACCATTGTTATTGTTTTTATCTGGTAAGGAATCAGTAGAGTAGCTCCCCACTTGAATCTCTAGGCTGGACATCTCTTGAATCTGAAAACCTTCTCCAACTCCCGTGCTGGTTGTTGCTTTAGTTGATGGTTTCTCCTCAGTGCTGTCCCTCAATGATTGCCTTTAATTCACCTGATGTATAGGTAATGCATGTTCACTGCATCATATGTGCATTTGTACCCCAGATGCACCAATACAGACTCAACAGTGCCACTTCACAGCTTTATGACTATTAGATAAGCGACAGAAAATATTTATGTTTCATAAATGCTTGTCTATGTTTAGATCACTGTCTCTGCAGTAACAGAGAAGGGGCCATATAATAAATTGTGGAGCCCTGCAGTTTATCTATCCGAAATGAGATAAATTAGTGCACCTGTCCCCATCAAGCCTGCTTCTTCTAGGGCTATTTGCATTCCAAACTTCTAAGCAACTTGCAGCAGGCATATTTTTTAAAGCCAAAAATTGCTTCCATTTTTTTAACCAAAATTCTACCCACCAATCCACTTCAGGAAAAGAGCAGATGCAAACACTTAAGTGTTCTATACAGGAACAAGCTCAGAGAGAAGAGGGATGCAGAACTCCTCTTTTAACCTCTCCCTTTTGTCCTGATGGCATCTTCCCACAGCATTAAGAATGGGCACTACTCACTTCCATTGCTGGTAGAGCAGCAGATGGATGCTGTGGTGATTTAGGGTCAGGTCCAAGCAGACAATTTTTGTCTCATGACACAAAAATTCACCCATATCTGTAATATGCATGATACCCAAGTGGGGAGATGTGATGTGGGCTCTGCTCAAGGAAGGGTCAAAAAACCAACCACTCCTGGTCATCATAGGATCCTCCAGGACACAGAGTTTATGTTTTCCTCCCAAGCAGGGAGAACTGGATTCTGCTTTTCAGTAGTTGTCTCACATCTCCCCACTTCTCAAACCAGATTTGCACAATGCTCTGTCTTGCTACAGTCAGTGTGTGAATTACAGGGACTTCAGAAAGATCTGAAAATCACAGCTTAAGCACGTCAATGGCATTAAAAACATATACATTTGACACTTCTGTTTTTAGAATCATGCATTCTACTTTTTTAAGACTATTTTGGTATTTCTTGCCCTGATAAACCATAGCATCCAAGTACTGCTCAATGTTACATGCATCTCTAATGACTCTCTGACATAAGGGCAAAGTCCATTATTTAGATTTTACAGATAGAAGATGAATGCAGAGAGGCTTGCTGTGTACTTGCAAAGTACTTGCTGCAGACAAAACAAGTGGCTAACTCATGTTCACTGAGGTTTATATTAATGTCCTAACAGTAAACTCCTTCTTTTCCTCTTCCCTTGACACTTGCCTCTGTGCCAGAGAGATATGTATTGAAACTGTGATAAGTCAGAGTAATAAAATCAAGCACAAAATCAAACTCTTCAAAAGCTGTCAGCCTTCTGGTGTAAAAATTCATATTTCCATGTTTGGATTTGTTTTCCTTAAATATTCAGTGATGCATACTTAAAAATTACTTTGCACATCTTCCTCACAAACTCATTTGCCATGGTGATTATGGAAGACAACGTACAGGCAACAGAGCATAGACAACCCAGTGGTAAGTGGATTTCTTTCTGTAAGTCTAGTATGCAATCAGAGTGATCAAAGAATGCTGGAGTAAGCTTCTGCTCATCTCAGTGAGATACTGCATCTTGTTAAAATACAGGAAACACCTAGCTGAACTGAAATGCCATGTCTTTCTGCTTCTGAGAAAGGCAACATTTGAAGACTGACCTTATTTTAGCTGATGGCAGAAGAGAAATGTCTAACTCGTGTCATGTCACTCATTCTGATGGAGCAAAACTTACACTAGAAGTAAACTTCTCTGCATTCTAACAAACATTTGCAGCAGCCAAAGCACAGGAGAAAAGTTACCTAACAAGCTTATATGGGAAAACCTGTTGCTCTGCAGAGTGGTAAGCAAACAAGTCAGTTCATGGACCCACATTAAAGCTTAAAATAAGGCTGAATATTTTTGATGCTGAAGTAAAATTATTTCAATCTAATTAACTGCACACATTGCTACACTGTGTTTTATTTACTGCCAGAAATAGAAACCAAAAGGAAATATGTATAGAAAACGAAGATCCAGCTTCTCAAGGTCTTCTCTTACACCAGCATAAACCTACTGTAAAAGCTGCAATACACCAGGTGATAATTCTAAATCCATAATGGTTTCATTGGTGTGAAACGCAAAATACTAAGAAGCAGACCACTTTATCTATTCTGGTGAAAGGTTTAAGGACACCACATGGAAATGGGTGTGGTTTGGTGTTCTGTCATATAGCACTCAAAAGAAACAACAATAATGTAAAGCTTTTTTTTTTTTAATGTGGCGATGGAAGTTTTTCAGAGCTATGCAGAGCAGCAATACATGGAGCAGCGCTGCAGTACAGTTCTGCCATAAAGGGGTCCCAAATCACAGGTAGTGGTGAGGCTTGCCTCTGGGGGAACATTCCTGGTGTTTCCATTTGGAGATATGTCAATGCCTATGCTGACAGAAAACTGTGACCCAGCTTAAAAATATGCATCTACTTTCTCCTACCTGAAAATTAAATAGTTAGAGCTTGCCCCCTCCCCATATCAAATAATACCATTTGCTCTTTCACAGGAAGTATTTTAGAGAGAAAAACCCCCACAAACTTAGTTTTAAATCCGGTTATTTTAAATCTCCATGGAATTATTAGAAGAACAGTAGACATCAAGCAAATATCTTGGAACAACAGCGGCGGCAGCGGCGGCAGCAGCAGCAGCAGCAGCCATTCCTCTTACACTACAAAGGAAATCTGTAATCTGTGCTGGCTGCAGAAAAATGTAGCATCTGTTGATCACTGGGGGAACTCGGGAAGGGAATGTAAAACCCATGCGGGCTCTGCCATCTTCTGTTTCTCTTCAGACCTCCAGGTGTGCAGTCCCTGGCACAGAGCGTGCCATCCGTCTGGGACTGGCACAGCTGCATCAACATCTCTGCCATGGGGAAGAAGAGCTGGGTGTCACTCTAACAAGGGCAGGCTGTATGGGGCTGTCAGACTGGCAGTGCCCACAGAAACACAGGCCTTTTGACATGGTGCCTGTGACATGCTAGAAGATGAGCTGGCAATTTCTGTATGCCAGGATGATGGTAGATTCTAAACACCCAGGCCCAATCCTCACCAGGTATCAGTGCCCACACTTCTCAGAGGTCTGCACCAGCTGAGCTCATGGCTCAGTCCAAATTACTGTACTAAATCTGAAAACAAAAGTTAAAACTAAAATGGGGCTAAATCCTGCCTACGTTTTACCCCTGGCAGGATGCAACTCAGAAGGGAATTTGTCTGAAGGCATGTTCTCAGCTAGGGAGCTGAGGTGACAGTTTAACTAGTAGATCAAATAATTACATAATTTGGATAATGCAGTGTCTGTGTTTGTCTTAAAAATTAATAATATCGCAATTATTTTCTGCAATAAAAGCCACCCTTCAGCAGATCCTTTTGCTTAACTTCTTAATCAGCTAAGCAAAAGCTCACACTGTGAGAAAATACATTTTCAGCAGAGTACTGATTTTCTCCCACAATCTCCCTTTCTCCCCATTTACTCCTTCTTTTCTTCTCCATCATCAATCTTTTAAGCATGCCACTGTGCATTCACATTTTTCTTTCTGCACGTGTCAGCTCAACGCTGTTCCTCAGAGCTCTCTTTCTCCGCCAAATCCCGCAAAGCAGATGTTAACCACTCATTTACCGAACAGAGAACTCCACACACAACTTTGCAAAAGCCAGGCTCTCCGGGTGCTTCCCAGCCACTGCGCTGGAATACTCCCTTCCCTCCACAACCCACAGCTATGGACAAAGGAGCAAGTAAAATGAAACTGACTTACTGCTATGGCTTGGAGCCTTTCCTTGTGCAACTCTGCTTCCGCCATCCTGGAGAGAAGGACACGGGAGGAGAGAGAGGGAGACGGGTGGGAGAAAAAAATAGAAGAAACAAGAAGGCAAGCAAAACCAAAACGGAGCACGCACTGCAGTCACCGGGTGGGAACTGGAGTAATTGCAAAGAAAGCTGAGCTCCTGTATAGCAGTCAGCCACTTTTGGAGGCACTGCAGCCTGGCTCACGGTAAGATCATTTTAGTCACTGGACCAGTGCCTGCCTCGCTGCCTGTCTCCCAGCTGTATTGCTAAGTGCATTTCATTGCTGCTTCTGTGTGCTGGTGCTGTCACACAAACCATGTATGCACTCTCCAAGCAGCTGAGCAGAGGGATAGCTCGCATGGCTATAATTTTTTGCGTTGACGTCTCAGCTCATTTGCTCCTCCTATGGGGTGCTGGGTCACGACAGGAGCTCGACATCAGTAGCGTGCACAGTAATCCAAACCTGCCTGACTGCAGCAGAGGAAGCAGACAGCTGTGGCACAGCATGTCCTTAGCGAGCAGCACAGCAGGGAGGGAAGGACGGTGGCACATGGCGCAGTGAGAGGGAGCTGCGGCAGGCAGGCAGGCAGGCAGGCAGGCGGCGGCTACAGCCCCAAGCTAAAGCAGGTTTGGCTAAGGGAAAGGACAGGGTGGCAGGAGGAGGGAGAGCATGGACTTTGGGGGAACTGCACAGCCGCTTGTGAATGCAGTGGTAACGTGGCACTCTGCAAAAGACTTCTGCTGCAGAGCAGCCCTTAAGAGAAGCAATGAAGAGCATGTGTATAGAAAGGAAGACGTAAGGTGTCCACACACCCTGCATTAACGTGCATTGCAGGTTAAAGGACTGTATTGACATCAGATATTCAAAAGTGACAAGGCTGTGTATGCAAACAACCTGACTGAAGACCCTGGTGTTATACACAGAGGAGGAGACAGGTGAGGAAGGGAGGGCACGCCTGAGCCAGTATCATGAGGGTACCCTTGATTTCAAGGGTACCTTCAAATTTTTATTTTTACTTCTATGATCTTCCATCTGCTTTCTTTTCTCCTAGACAGCAAAGAAGCCCCCCACTCTCTCCCAGTCCAGTCCTACAGGGTGCTGCTGCAAGGATGACACAGGGCTGGCACACTGGAGGGGTATCTCTGAGCCAGAGCAGCCACTGCGCCAGATGGAGGGCTGGGTGAGCGCTAACTGTGGCATCCTGGGGCTGTCCTACCATGAGGAACAAAAGTGCATTTTGTAGCATATAATTTTGATGTAACAACCTCATGCTGATAAAGACAGGAAAACTCCATCATTTTGGAGGAAAGCAATCTGGAAGTCACCCTGCTTCTTCCCATGTGCCTGCCCTTTCAAGTGCCACCCAGCCTGGCATTTTACCTTTACACATCACAGTCTCCTCTCCCAGACATCCTCCACCTCCATCCCACTTCCAGCTCCAGGAACTCTTGCTGCAGGCTGCTTTTCAGTGCAACTGTTTTCTCAAATGTTTTCACCTCCTGGTCCCGTTTCCCTTACTGGTGCTCAGCCTCCTTGTCTTGTGACAGGATGTCAAAAGTGACTTCTTGCTTAGCTTTGCCTCTGGGAAAAAAAGTCCTTTGTTGTACAGAAAACTCAGAGCATTATATAATTCCAGTAGTCTCTGTGGCCAAAAGGCAATGTTTTATTGCCATATCCCAAGTGAGGCAGTATCTGTAAGTGGGTGTTGGACTCACAGCTAAGGGAAATGCAGAAATTGCAGCTAGATACTGGGACACTCTTTCAGTCTTCCAATTTCAAGTAATTTGTTGAATAGCATCTGTCTTGTAGTTTATTTGGTCCCTGTCAGCCTGCTGTATTTCTTCAAAACCTCTTTTTTTGTTGTTTTTTTTTTGTTTGTTTGTTTGTTTTTCATTACCATGTAAAGGTCCATGCACTGCTACTTGTATTACTACAGCTGGTTTTGAAATATCCCATCACACAGGATCCAGACATCTATACTCCCACATGTGCTCTGAGAACATATATGGGCAACTCCTACTAAGGCTTGATAGCTATGCAATTAAATCCCTTCAATACCCTTCTCATGTTTTGCTGCTAAGCCTTGCCCAGGGGAGGAATTCTGCTACAGTCTATATCCAGCAAAGACAAGGGTTATGCCCCAGTGCTTACTGGAGCTGGAATGGGCAGCCTATTCACTCCATGACCTGTAGTCACATTACGTGCTGCCAAAGTGGTGTGTGACATGCATCACATTAGGCCATCCCCTCTTTCCCTCCATATAACATCCACTCAGGAAAGCATTTAAACATATATTTGAGCAATGTAGTAATATATTTAAATGGATATGAGCATCTCAATTATGATACAAAACCTTGCAACAGTTCATGAAGTACAGTAACAACAACTGAGCTGAACACTGTATTAGCCTCGTGTTTATCCTCTTCAATTTAACTGCAGTGCTTGTTGCCAACAAGGGATAGGAAGGCTGCATCCTAGTGAATTCTGCAGCGTTCCTGGTCCCTGTGAAACATGCTGTGGGGCTGTGCACTCCTCCAGTTTAGTTTGCCAAGGAAACATGAATCAGCTGTGCTGTAGCAGTCCACTCTGCTGGCTCTTTATGAATGTACAGGAATGACAGAGGTCAGCACCAGAGTAGTTTCTTGCTGTTGAGTAGCAATGAGGAAAGGCTGTAAGTCAGGCAATAGTAATAGCCTCTGGTTTCCCTGTCGTGTCTTTCTCTCATATGGCTTGAAGCCTGTGATTCAGTGAAGTGAAATTCTTTACCCAAGTGGTTCACAGAGCAGACCCAGGTGAAATGACCTCTATGAGGTGACTCACTACATGAAGAAGACCATAGGGGACAGCCCCTGTGGACATTTAGTTAGTGAAGGCAACTTTAAGTGAAACAAAACAAAACAACCAGTCCATTTCTACACATTTTTTGACCCATGTTGGTTAAGATTTTTGTTTCCAGTATGTTTTGCTGTGTTGGTAAGGAACTTTAATCAAAAAAGTAAGAAATTGTTTAAGGCCTACAGTTTTTTTAATTTGTTTTGTTTTACTTTTAGGGCAGGAGAGCAGGGTGATATTTCCAAATTTCGAAGATACTAGGAAAACAAGAGAGGATGGAGGGTGTAGGGAGGAACAAGAAGATTCTAGAAGAGTAGGTGAGAGAAAAGTATTTAAATATACTTTGTTCAGTAGCTAAAAATTAGGAAGAAAGGAAAAATGTCCCCATTATTTTTTCAAATGTCAGTTAAAAACCTGTTCTTTTCACAGAAATTTTTAGAAGAGCAAAACCTGCTAAATCTTAATAATGTGTGAATTGCATGCCATTTTTCCATGCAAAACAGACTTTTATTTTCATTTCTTTGGAAAAGAGTGTAGGAAACAACCTCTTCAATGGTGAAGAAGATCCTGAAAGCGCTCTGAGATATGTGTAGCCTGAACTTAAATGAGACAACTTAGTTATACAGTAGAAATCAGGTTCTTGTCCTTGCCATGGAGCTGAGCTGGTTTAGGAAAGGTTCTAGTTTAAATCACTTGTGTTTTTTTTTTGACAAGCCAACCAGGTTGTTTTTTTGCCATTGCCCTGCACACTATCGGAACTCTTCTGCATGATGCCAGACATCCTGTCCTTAGGAAACCTTTGGCTTCCCATCCTCCTGGCTCTTGATAGAACTGATTCAGTCTAAGAAACCAGACTTTGTCCTGAAGACTGCGTAAGGAAGGCACACACATACACATGAAGGTCAGGATTAGCACCTTGGCCATAGCAAATGCATCAACATATTTGTGAGGTGATAAATTAGTGGTTGGATCCTGGCAGTGACTGTCAAGAAAACACAGCGCAGGAGGGAAAACAGGCTTCACATTTGCATTTCAGATTGTTTGAGAGGAGATACTTCTGGCTTTTAAAATTACCACATGCCAACACACTGCAAACATTGCTCTGGCATCCTCAATATTGTCAAGCATTCCTGCCTAGGCCTACTGGAACCATATTATTTTCATTTGAGTTGAAATTCTGGGGTTTGATTAATCTGCTCTTTATCTTCCTTACAGATTCTGGCTATATTAAAATAGGCCAGGAATGAAAAGTTCATCAAAATTTTAGATTCCTGAGCTCATCACCCATGCTCATTTTTTGTACTCCCTCAAACACGATGCTTCATACAACATAGCCTTTGAAACTTTTGGCAGTGTCACCATCTGACATCTCCAGGAGAGGCTACTCCATCTGCAATTTTAATTGCAGCTCTTAGCTTCATTGGACAAAAATCTCTTCCTGCCCTTCTCTCTTCTGTACCCTGGCTGCTTGCTGGGGGAGTAGAGTGTCCACAACACCAAGGGTTGTGCTTGGGCCTCTTGGAAGCTCACAGTGTGAGTTGCACCTCAGGGACCCCCATCCCAATGAGACATCACCCCAGGACAGTTATCCTTATCCTGCCCGGATATCTTAACCCAGTAAATGGTGGCTGCATGATGGAGGCTGTGTGTCCAAGCCCTTCACACTCACCCTGTGTGGCTGGTGGTGAGGGTGCCCAATCTGTTGTCACTCACGCAATGGTGAAAGTGAGAAGTGGCTGAACACTCAAATATGTGCCCTCACCCCTCTGCTGTGGGGTGGCAGATGCTACCATCGGTGCACTTCATTCTCAACTCCCCCTTGCATGGGTTTTCATGGGCCCAGCCCCCAGGCAGTCTGGGTTGGTGGGAAAACCAGGCTGTGCAACAGGACAAGGAAAGACTGGAAAATCGGCCCTCTATCTCACACAGCATTTCACACCTGGAAAATGCAGGTGGTAAAACCATAAATCATATGCCTAAACCATAAATCATATGCCTAAGTTGAACAGGAGGGCAGTGGCAGAGTTCAATCTAGACCTCTGAGTGCAGTTCCATAAGTGCGCAAGATCATTGTTTCTTTATAGAAAAAAACTTTACATCAAACTTAGTGTAACTTAAGTTGTTTCTTCTCCCTTTTTTCTGTGTTTTTTTGTTTTGTTTTCGTTTGTTTTTTTCCTGTTTGCTGCTTGCTATCAAGACATGGAGTTGAAGCATGCACAGCAGGAGATGGCATTGTTTAAGAAATAAAAATCTAGAGCACAGGACTTTGTTTTAAACCTTCCCAAGACAGCAGGCTTATGAATAGGTAAGCCATAATTTATTAATAAGTGCAGTCTATTAGTTTTTTCCATGTGTGCTTGGTTTCATTCTGCAGCCATGGGGTGGTTGCACTAAGTGTCTGACTAGAGGGGTCTCCACACAGTCATGACAGCTACAGGACGCCTCCTCTGAACAGACCACCAGATACTGTGTGTGGTAGGGGCCCTCAGGAGACTCCATAAACCAGAAATCTCCAGGCCAAATGGTGTCTGTTGTCCAGAAACAGTTGCTTGTAGGTGATTCGGCTGGGATGAGGAACAAGAAGCAATTGTTTTCCTGAGATCTCTTGTTCTGCCAGCCCCACTACCATGCTAAAACAGCCTCATGTTAGCCTGAAATTTATTCACCTTGCAGTAACTTGTCAGTTACTAATGTCCTTGGCAGTAACTAATGAAGCAAGCCACAGAGCACCCCCTGCCAAAGCCTCCAGTAAAGCTGGAGATGCTATTTGCAGTGACTTTCCTTGAAGCAGGGAAGAAGAAGAAATTATGTAGGCATTTTACTTTTCTCCCAGGCTAGTCTCCTGGTAGCTGGGCTTATTCGAAGCTTTCCAGGTGAAGAAAGCAGCCTGTCTCCTCTTGACATTCCAGTGTTGGCAGCTAGCACCACAGCTCTCTTATCCAGCTGCAGGAGACTAGCATGGCTCCCAGGGAGCAGAGTAGGATTGGATGACCTGCAGAGGAGAATTGTAAGGTTAACCTTTCCCAAATTCCTTTAGTCTCTATGAAATTACACAAAAAGAAAATTCTGTCTTGTCCTTACCTTCTGCTTTCTGTTCTCAGTGCCTCCCTTGACACTCAAGATCCACCTGGGGCAGAAAAGGATGATGAGAGCAAGTAATACTCCCAGTACTACACTGCAGGACAGGGATACAACTGTGAACAGAACAACTCTTCACTAAAAAGGGAATTTTTGTTGAATTTAAATTCTGTCAGTGTAATGATGCCACCAAAATAGGTCTCTGCTTTTCTTAGTTGTGCATCTCTCTATAGCTGTTAATGAGTGGAGAATCATGTGTACCCGAGGACTTGTGCTATCCACCCCATCTGAAACATTTTGTTGCATTGAGTTTCATTGTTCCTGACAACTTTAATGCTGACACAGAAGAGACTCTTGCCCCTTCAGCCCCTCAAAACTGGCTTGGCTATTCATTCTGCCAAAAAAAAAAAAAAAGAGGAAAAAGTGTACATTTTTTCACTTTGGATTTAAAAACTAGAGCTTTGTTCTTGTAGGTTCTGGCATTTCCCTCTCCTTTTTTTTCAAACAACACAGACTGCAGCAGGAAAGCTGCTTTTAGCAGTATTTATTTCTGTTCTTGTGCCTGCTGATTATTCTCCACATATAGTACATAGCTGAAATGATATTCCCTTAAAAAACATAAAAATATTTACTGCTGAGATTTGGGTTAGTACACTGGATTTTGCTTCAGAAGTGAAATAGTAAAGAAAGTAAGTTGTCTGCAGCCCAACTGCAAAAAGCTGTTAGAAAGGTGAATATAAACTACTGTTCCAGAACATAACTGAGGCTAGAATCTGAATGTTTGTTTTTTACTACTTCTGTGATCACTGTGTGATTTGGGAAGGCTCTATCCACATTTGCTGCAGGCACGCTGGTGGCTTATGAGGCCAATACGTGACAGACAAATCCGATTGCAAAAGGCACAGCAGAAAGACTCCTTAGATGGTGTATTCTGCAAGACACGGTTCTTTCTGCGTTGCCTTTTTTCCTCGAGGGTGATCCTGCGTGTGTTCTCAAAGGAAACAGCTGCGTTATAGATGGTGTGTCTCCAGGCCTCCCGATTGGAGGCCAGAGTAGACCAGTTCCCAAATCTTCGTTCGCGAAGCCTAGCCATGATGATCACTGTGTGACCTTTGTTTTTGTTCCCCCATATATGATCAAAAGACAACTTAATACCTATTGTTTAAACATCTTTTCAGTGTCAGATCCTTTAGACCATTCTCAGTTTGGTCTCCTATCCTCAGGCTCCTTGAAGAAGGACTATGAGATTGGCATTGGATTTGCAATGCCAAAAAAGTAATGAGGAGTCCACTCCAGCGTACAAAGGCAGTTTTTGTTAATGACAAGCTTTCAGCTAAGGTTAAATAGCCAGGAAATTTATGATAGCATTACCTTCCTCCTTAGCGGAGGGGCTGCCCAGAGGTGTGTTCAGCTTGTCTGCATCAAGGCTGTAATGTAATGGTGGGCATTTAAATGAGCACATCTCAGCTCCAGCACGTTATAGAAATGAAAGAAAATTTTGATTTTATGTCTGTGATGAAGAGGAGTTGAATCCTTCCATTCAAATAAGGAGTCTTACAGTAATTTGAAAGAGCGAATCAGATCAGAGTCAGGTTCACTTATCACAGTCCATCTTCTGAAATCCTCCAGAGGCCTGTCATGTATCCTTTGAGCCTGCTAGACAGTGGTGCCAGCCCTAAAAAAAAACCCAACAAACTAACTGGAAAACCAAAACAAATTACATCTTTTTGGACAATATCCCATTTCTGGTCCTCTAACCTGACAAAAACTTTGGCACAGAAATCATCTCCTGGCCTTTTGGCCTCAGCTTTAGATAGTGGCAGTCACATAGAAGAGACAAAAATAACTTGTTACTTTCTGGACACATGCTGAAAGTTTAATATGAATTTTGGATCAGTCTACGCTATGTCCAAATTGGCACATCCAACCTCCCTTGTTATCTAAGGAATTCATTAAGCTTTTCACAGCCTGAGGCAGCCAACAAAGTGCCAAGACTTTGCCTTGAACCAGTGTAACACGGGTATGTGTTATGCAAAGATACTGCATTGCATATATGCAAGTGATTTCTTCCAAGGACCATTAATGCTGTTTCTTTTCCATGGTCACACTTCCAGTACTCAAATCACAGGCACACAAACAGACTGTGATGTCTCTTTCATGGGAAAGGTATCCCCACTGGTTCCTTGCTCAGGGTCTCTGCAAAAGGCTAGTACTACAAACTGAAGATGTTGAAAAAACCTTAATCAGAATTCCTGAGAAAAATGCAAGTTCCACTGACTTCCCGCTCATGTCACTCTAATGGTATTATTTTATAACATTTTAAGGTACAAATTGGAGAACTGTTTTACATTGTGTTGTATACAACATACAAGCCTCACTCAATGATATAACCATTAAACTGGAATCTCTAGTGTGCAGCTAATTAGGAAATCATCTTTATGTCTTGCACCTCTAATGTAAAAAAGCCTTGTTTAGTAAGTACTCTTCAGAAGAGACAGTGTTCATTAAATCTAGTAGTCAGCAGTTCCTAGGGTGAAATTTAATGCTGATTTACAAAGCAGTCAATGATTGACGTTGTCTTCTACTGATTCTAGTGGAAAATGATTCTTAATCTTCTAGACTGATTTGAAACTCCCTGTCAACATGTCTACATTTTAAGCTTCTGCATATATTCCAATTCCGAAACCCAAAAGAGAATACAATACATAATTTTTCCAAAAGGAAGCATTCACCCAGCCTTTTAAATAAAGATATTTGGGAAGAGGCTGAATGCTCTGAACTCTGAAAACTTCCAGTTATGTCTTATTTTAGTACTTAACCAGACTTTTTCTTGAACTAGAGAATAACAACACGTGGAGCAAGGCTGCAAGTATCCTCAACCTCATGACAGCAGGGAATTCAGACCTCTCTTCATGTAGTTACGTTAGTTACTGCTAGGTGTGCAGGAATGGAAACAAAGAGGCTCCCTATGAGGCTGTGACTGACTTACAATAGGCATATACCATGCCAGAGCCTACTGTAGCTATCTGCTCCATGTACTTGTTCATAATACATTAAAATAATAGTAACCATGTAGCAGGACCTTCTTCACAAAGGGAGAAGAAGGAGACATGTCAGGTTGTTAGTTTAAAAATATAAGACTTTTTTTCTTGAATTATTCTTGTGCAGAACTAGAGTCTTGCAGATATCTCCCAGGAGGTTTGATCAATTTAGTGAATTGAAAAAAATCCCTCACCGGAGGCCTGCTTCTGCCACAGACCACTTTTTACATCACAATAGTCTGAGACTTTCATTAGGGTGGTGGAGGAGCCTTGCTTTGCTTATAAAATTGTAAAGAGAGAGACACAGCTAATGAAAAAATGCATCTCTTCTTCATGATGTTACCCAACATGATTGTCTATTCTTTGCTCATAGAAAAGAAAAATCATCTCCCTTTTTGTGTGTTTTTCCTTGATTTCTTTAGATGATTGATTTATTTGATCTGCTGATGTTATGGGCCACATATAATGTTTGTGGTTTGGGCACCCAACAAAGATGTGGAGAGAGTGGCTGCATCGGATCTATTTAGGCAAATTAATATTCTCCACAGTTTAGACTGTTCCATTAGTAGAAAATATACATTTTAAAGACTGATTAAATATTTCCAGTTGAGATTTGGAAAAAGACAAAAGTGTTTCTTGATTCTAGTGCCCAGGGAGTCACATGGTGTGGTTTTATAGCTGTTTCAGGATACTTAGAACATGTGTAAACCTACATGCATATGTCCAAAGCAGATGTCAATATTGTATCTGGTGTGTGATGGCAACGAGGTGACAAGAGCCCTAGACGTGTCTGTTTTAACCAACATCTTCAATGGATCTTCTACATTACAAATTACTAATTGCTAAGCCCCTGTTCAATTATGTCCCAGTTCAGTATATTCAACGGACATATCTCCACGTGTTCATGAGAGTCCCATTTAAGGATGATGGCACTTTTCAGAAAACAGGGACCATATGGAAGAAGGAACATTTAAAATTGTATTTTGAGTTCTCACATTTCAAGTCTATCTTGGAATTTCATTATTCCCTCCCCCTCCTTCTCTGCCCCCCCCCCAACAACTTTCAAATCATCCTTTCATGAAGGTGTTTCATTGCCTGTCTTCTTATCTTCTTTTTCTTTTAATGTGAACTCCTCAGTACTGGGACTGCGTGCTGTGTGGCTGCTGAGGATGGATCATGATTAGTTAAACTGCATTTGACATTGCAATTGCTGCACCTACCAAAAAAAAAAAAAAAGCTAATATTTAGTGTTTAAGGAGTATTGCTAGTGGGAATATAATGATAATTTGTCAAATCTAGCTTACACACAAGATATGCATGAAATTTAATGAGATATAATGATCAAAAAACACTCCCATTTTATCTGGTGAACTTCTCAAAAGATTTATTTTTTTTCCTAAAGTTAAGATACATTCTGAGAAAAGTACTTCACACTGTTTTTTACTTTCATATGGAGTGCATTTTTTATGGGAATATAAAATTGCAAGTGGAGTGATGTATTTTTATTTTTGTTTTAAAAAATTATTAAAAATCCTTCTTATTAGTACCTTCAAAATAATAATGCTTTGCCTGGGAGTTTACAATCACAGCTTGATGAACAACTCTAGATTTGATTTCCCTTTCAAAATGCACTGGTTTTAAATGACATTGCACTTGTTATCAATCTAAGTTTCCGGTCCTCTACTGACTGATTGATAGTTAGTTCTGTCAGTACTATATTATGGCAGGGAGTTCCACAAATCAGCTCCCCCCCAAAAATGCTTCTTTTTAAGAGCCATTTTTTTCTCAGTTTCACAGCACCTGTTATCTGGCTATCAGAGCTTTGATTTAATATTCTATTCTGCCTATCTCATCTCATGATGGAAGTGTACCAGCTGTGAAATTTTATAGTGGGAATCATTCCTGTGATCAATCTAAGCACAGTTTTACTGAACACCACAAACCCCCCTACTATTGCAGATGAAAAGTGTTGCTCAAAATCTTCTAGAGTGAGGCAGAGAGGAAAAAAGACACAAAACAAAAGGAACATTCTTAATCCTTTGAAGAGGAATAAAGAATGCAGTGAGAAAAATGAGTTAATAATGTAAAAATGGCAGGAAAAACAGAGGTCACCTTTAGATTGGAGATCTGGAATGAATTGTCAAATTAAAATGATGTTGTAGAACAAGTATTTTCGTCTGTTGTTTTTGTGTTAAAAATTCTACTATAAGTATTATCTTGGGTTTTGTTTGCCTTGAGTGAACTGCAATTTCATCAGCTGCAATGCCAGGCAGTCCAATGAAGCATAGCAGCAAGTGGGAAGCTGGAAAAACCTTTCAGCTGTACCCACATCAGAGAGGACTGTAAATAAAAGTTGATTCAAGTTCTTAAAGCTGGTTTAGTTTGTTTTGGAGATCAGAAGACGAAGCTTGAATTTTTATATAGATGTGCCCACCAGTATATGGAGCTCCATATGCAGCCTAGGCAGTTCCTTTTCCTATTGTTGCAAAGCCTAACTGGGCAAATTGAGGTCCGTGGATACTGTGGTTATTGCAGTTTTAACATTTAATGAAGTTGTGATCTTTTGGCTTTGGATAAAGCACAGTGTGACAACACATACTGACTACGACTATATGATGTCTCAGTACCTTCTGCCCCTCACAGCAGGCTACAATTCTATCTGAACCTTTGAACAGATTACTTGCAAATGGTAATCCCACTAAGTCACACAACCCTCTCTCTGTGGGACCTGTTTTGCATTATTTGCCCCATACAGCCTGGATTTACTCAACTGCTGCACTTGTAGCAAATGTGGGTAGAGCCCTTCCCAAATATTCGTTTGCAAAGCCTAGCCATGATGATGATGACTCAGCTGCTGAGTCTGTGTAGTAGAACATGCTACCATTTGTAGATTTTGAAATGTGGAAGGTTTTCTTGCATGTGGAGAAGGCTTAAGTAGTCTGGTTTGCCTGCAGGAGATGGGATATCTTTCTGACACAGGATTGGGGTACATGAGGTCCAAGGTCTGTTCCTGGTTGTTTTGCCCCCCTGTGTCACCCCCACACAGGGCTGCTTTTCCCCACAGCTCCAAACACTTGCAAAGCCCAGTAAGGTTTCTGACAATGGGCAGCCTGGCCAAGCTGCAATGGGAACGTTGATGGGAAGTGCAGAAGAAGCTGAGAGTTCTCCTGAATTTCCACAAGTGGCTGTTTCCCGTGGCTTATACTCAACCAGATTTTAGAGAGGATATTTTAAGTCAAAGCAAAGCATATTCAGCTTTCAGTGGTTAGCATTCCTCATTTCAATAATTCATTTCAATACTTTCAATACAATCTGCTGATGTTTCAGAACTGCTAAAATAAGACATACACAAACTGAGAAAAAAAACCCCCAACTAAATGTTTCTACTGCTTTGATACAGTTGCTGCTACCATTGCACTTAACAGAGCGGGAATGAACTGAGGGCAACTTTTAACTCATGACTATCAGCTTCACTGGCAGATCAGATGTCTCCCAAAAGCAGCAGATCCCATGCCTTACCACTGAAGAATGTGTGAAGTGGTAAACCACCAATCTTCCCAGGGCACTACAGCTGTAACCAAAGTCTGCGTAAAACACAAAAACATCTCAATGCATTTGAAGCAATTCAGTCTTTGCAGTAAGGACATGCACACAGGCAGAGTTAAACTTTTGCACTTCCCACCCTTTACCCTAAGACCCCGCTTTTATGCTGCCCATCCGGATAGGAGCTAGAAGGGCAGTGGGTCAAGGCAGACAGGACAAACGTGGTTCTCTGAGCAGAGAAAACTGTTGCTGTGATCTGTTCCCAACAGGCTGACACTTGGAGAGGCTATCATGCGCTTGTGCTGGAGTTAAAAGGCCTTATAAGGCAAAGCCTGAACAAACTGTTAAGCAGTCTGAAGTGTTCCTCAGTGCTGAAAAACCTCCAGGGAATGCACAACATACCCCTGGCAAAGATTACAGCATATTTCACAGCAAGCTCACAGAGTAACAAAGCAGATATTGTATCTTTGAATTTCAGGCTCTGCAGGCTAGTCTCAGCAAGAAAATTAAGATCAGGTCCCCTTCTTGGATTCATTTTACTGCAGTGGGGCAGGTTAAGTGTCATTCATTATATCTGTCTTTAAGATTTCATAAAGTTACACATCAAGTTCTCTTCTGGAAATATGCTCTCTACAGCATATTTCTGTATGCTGTTGGCTGGACAAACCAGATCTATTTGATCTGTGGTAGTAGTCAATACCAACGACAAAATGATCAGATGTTGCTCCTGAAATCTTCAGAGTAACCCAGTCCTGCTTTGGCACCCTCCAGCTCACTGGAGGTCATGAGGTATGAGGAATTCCAGCACCTTCTCTTTTCCTGCCATGGTTCAGGTGGAGTTGAGACACAGCTGCCTCACACCCTCTTCACGTGCCTGCAGGAAGAGCGTTGCATGCTTACATGCAACAGGGTTGTCATCAGTGGCACAGAGTCTAGTTGGAGGTGTGTAGCTAGTGCTGTCCCCTAAGAGCCCAGTATTGTTGAAGTTATCCATCACTGACTTGGATGACAGGACAGAGGCCTCCTCAGCAAACTCGCTGATGACACAAAGCTGGGAGGAGTGGTCAATACCCCAGTTCAAAGCCTTATTCTTTCACTACAGGCCCTTGTAAAAGTTCCTCTCCAGCTTTCCTGCAGGCCCCTTTCAGGTACTGAAAAGACACAATAAGGTTAAATAAGATCACCCTGGAGCCTTCTCTTCTCTAGGCTGAAAAACCTTGAGTGGATGAGGGGACTGGAGCAACTCTTATCAGGAAAAGCTGAGGTAGCTGGGCTTGTTTAGCCTGGAGAAGTCTAAGAGGAGGTCTAGAGAATGTCTATAAGTATCTGAAGGAACAGTGTCAAGAGAGTGCAGCCAGGCTGTTAGTGGTGCTAAGCAGTAGCACATGAGACTATAGTAAGAAACTGATACACAGGAAGTTCCACGTGAACATGAGGAAGAATGTCTTTACTGTGTAGGTGACTGATCACTGGAACAAATTTTCCGCAGAGATTTTGGAGTCTCCCTTACTAGATACTGAAGAACTGTCTGGATGAAATCTATGCTCCATGACCCTGCTTGAGCAGGGAGGTTGAACCAGAAGATGCACTGTGATCCCTTCCAACCTTACCCATTTTGTGATGCTGTGATATTTTGGGGTGCTCACTCACTTACAAAGCAGTGAACTGCATCAGAAAGATATGAGCCATTTTTCCCCCCATAAACCAGACAAAACTGCTGCAAGTCTAATGCCTCATACTTACACACATTTTCTCTGATCTCTTCTCTGGTTCTGCTGTTTGCATTCTCTTACTCAAGTCTGTATACAGTTCAAGCCCCTTCCTTGTTCTTTTCTGATGTTTTAAAATAAATCCTTTCCAATTCCTTTTTCTGTTTCTACCCAGCTGCCTGTTTACATTATGCATGTGACCCAGAAATTACATGGGCATCCAGAGGGAAAAGCATATTTAGTCACTTCTCCAGAGTGAATATGGTTGTTCAGAGCACTGCTATTAATTATAAAAGTAACAGAAATATGTGAATGCCAGTGTGGAATGACTTTCAAAAAGCAATATCATTGAACTGAGATTTGTTTTGTTCCTCCTAGAAGGAAGCTGCATGGAGGTAGTCTTGCTACAGCTGAAGAGGAACAGACTGGGCATCTGTTGGATATCCACTAGCTCCCTCCTCATACACTATCTAATAGATTGTTATGGTTTAGGAATGGTACTCCAAACCACACTACTGCTGGCTCGCTCCCCCCTTCGCCTCCCTCTTCCTGCTCCAACGGGATGGATTTGAGAACTGCAGGCACAAAAGGTGAAAATAACAGGGTGAGATAAGAACAATGTACTGGACAGAGCAACAAAATAAGAAAACAAACAATAACAGCAACAATACTAATATCAAAAGGTGTAAAACAAAGAAACAATTTGCACAGAAAGTTCACAACAAATACAAACCAGCTCTTTCCCACCATGCTTTCTTACAAGCGAAAAAGGATGCCTTTCTCCTTGAAAGTGAGATAGAGTCCCTTTCCCCCACCCCTGGAAATGATGTGAGGTTGCATTGAATAACATTAGGGGCTGGTCATGCCCCCTTCCAGCTACTGTAAAAAATTAACCCTGTCCTGGCCAAAGCTAGAACATCGATATCCATGCGAGAAGGGTTTGCCAACATATATTTCATTTGCGGTTGGTACCTTGGTCATGGATGCCAAAGATAGGACTGGTAGTTCTTTGTCCATGGCTATAATTCACTTCTGTCCTAAGAAAAATTCAGACACATTGCAACCTAGTCAATTGCAGTGATACACACATTGTCATGGATGCAAAAGATGTATCCATACATCTTCGTTACATCATACCAGTCTTCTTCATCAGAAGGAAGACTTGTCCTACCTAAGTTTCAGCAGGGCACTGGATACTGCAAATCAGCAGCCAGCTAAAGTGACTGGAGTTGAATGAGGAGCGACAGCACATTAGTCATCTACAGATAACAACTGACAGTGACTGAAAAGGGTTAAAAAGTGCTGTTTGTCTTGTAACCATAACAAAACCAAAACACTGTAAGTATTCAACTTTTCAGCAAATTAGTTTTGACCATCTTGTGCATGGCTTTCTAAAAATGGACAGACAATTGAACTGGAAGGCACTTCCATAAAGACAGAGCATTAAATGAATGTTTCAGAAAATCACATTTGAAATCCATCAGCACAAGAGCATCCTCATTGAAGATACATGACCTCTAGGAAATGTCTTCTCTAAACTACTGAACAGAAGCAGCTGGTGACCGGAAAGAGCCAAACTGAGGTATAGTTATTTTAAAAGACTGGTGGTAAAGGCAGGCAAAGAGAAAAAACCCCAAAACTATGGAGAAAAGCAATGTACACAAATACAATGCAGAAAAAAAAAAAGGCACTCAAACCAGAATCAAATTGGGGGATATCAAATCAGTGCTAAGCTAAAGGTCAGAGGAACAAAAATAGAGAAATGAACACAAATTCTCCCCTAGCAAAATTAGATATAACAGATGGGTGAAAACCTGTTATTAAGGTTGGTTCAGGCCAGGGACTACAAGTATGACTCGATTTTGTGTATAACATATATGACTGCTTGCATCTAGCTGTAGAAGCCTAGAAGAGAAGGGACTAATGTGTATGTCTTAAACATAATAGCCCAGTAGCTTGGAGCTAAACAAGGACTGAAAGTAAGAACACTCTGTGAGAAAGGACAGGATATGACTGGAGAAGGGGGCCATACGAAGGTACAGCAGTGTGTTTCTGGGACAAACATCTTTTTTTCTGGCTCCTGGACATAAGCACAACACAGTACAGCACAAGTGCAGGAATGAGGTTGAGAAGTAGGCATGAACTGTCAACTAAAGGTCAACCCAGTAGGAGGGGGACACCAAAATCACCAAAGAACCCTAAGATCCTCCAACCTATTTCCAGAAGGTCTAGAAGAACAAACTGTGTACGACAGCTAATTTGCATAGAAAGTGAGAAATTTAGCTCCAGTGTGGGAAAATTTATCTATAAAATGTATCCCTACGAAGCCCAGGCATTGCCCCCAGGACTCTGTAACATCCCATCATCTGGATCAACATTGGAGACAAGAATGGCGATCTTTCTTTCTTCCTTTATTCCTTCCTTCCTCTCTCCCTCTCTTTAATCGCCCTCTCCTTTCACCCTATCAAAATCCACCACTGTGTGCTTATACTGGAAAACAAGGGACTAACTTATACCAATTTCCATGCCAAGTGTATAATTTACTGATAAAACTCTGTAACTTTTGGGGACCCTCTGGCTTCTGTCGTTCCTTTTTGACCATGAGCATCTGTGCGCTTGCATGTTCTCTTCCCTTTCAGTGTGGAATGCCCCACTAGCTAATTTTCACCAGTCTCCTGAAGTAGTCCTTTTGTGGTGTAAAAGAAATTCCAGGCTGCCATAAACTGCTGACGCTGGAAACTTCTTTATGTTCTTCTCTATGTTTTATCCACAAACCTCATATTTTTGTTACTATTTGGCATTATAATCTACAGTAGTAAGGAGAAAAAAAGAACTCTAATGATTTCCAGATCTTGTAGGAAGTGATGGTATTTTCTGAAAGCTAGAAAATAATACATGGGTGCTGGATTTTGACTTTGCTTAATCCCCCAGTATTTATAAATAAAGAATGCCAAGGAGTTAAGCTAGACAGTTCAGTGGTGCACATGAGACTCAGAACAGATCTTTGATAATGCCACCCTTGACTGAATACACACAAAACTGTGTATTCAGGAATGATCCAGAAGCTCAAATACCAATGCCTAACCTCTTCATGCTTTGAAAATAATGCCTATGCTGCTAGTTACAACCTTGTAATTTTTTATGCCTACTTTTTGACACAGAAGATGTTCCCAAAATCTGGGGGTTTTCCCTACAAATAGCTGTGAAGGAGACAGGAATAGAGTTTGCAGAATTTAGTATTTTATATTTATACTGTCAAGCAAAGAAACTCAAGTGAGAAAAACATTTTTACTATGTGCCTCTGTATGAAACCACTACCAACTGAAAACTCTGATGTCAAAAAGATATCAAAAAAAGCTTTGGTGTCTGATGAGAAACTTTTTTATTAAGCCTATTCAGGTCCTACAAAATCTAGGAATCAAGCTGATGGTGTTCTGCTCTCTTTATGAACAGCTTGAAGCCTGTGCCTTGTTAAATGGGATTTGGTCTGCGAAAATGAGTTGAACATTCATTTCCAAGGTTACCCTGGGTTAGAGACTGCTGATGGGTATGTATTTGGTAAGGGGGAACTCTGATCTTTGTACCTGGGATTAAATTCTGTAGAGGTACAAAACCATTTTATTTTCTGGAACAAAGCTGTGAGACCATGCTATCTTCTATGGTCAGTATGGGATTAAGAGCATAGGGACCTGACTGCAAGCAAAATGTTATTGAAAATATAATTACTGAGCTGACTAACTACAATACTATTAGAGGGAGAAGCTGTAGGGAGGGATGAATTGCTGCTTGTCTACTTTATGATTCATTCATCTGATTATGCCAATGGAAACAATTTGCTGTAGTGTCTTTTGTACACAACCAGGAAACACAGAGCTCTCAGAGCTCCAGTAGTTCTCTCATTTTAGTATGGCTTGGTACCATTTGAATCAACCTGCATGTAATTAGACTCCAAAGTGCCCCCTATCACACATAGAGGCACTTTTCCTAAAAAAAAGCAGACAAAGCCATGTTAGGTCAAATTTGCCTAGTCCATGTAAACCAGCCTGTGATACTGGAAGACTTGCAGGAAACAGGCACGCATGCTTTGGAGATCAAGGAAATCAGTGAAGCTGTACTGACTTAATGTGGGCAAAGGTCCCGGAGGAGATGAGTGTTTGTGACTATGAACCTATGCATGTGGCTGGTAGAAACCTGAAGATTTGAATTAGTTCTCTCTTGTCATCTCTCAAAGAAGTGATCTAGCCCTGAGTATGCCAGTAAGCCGCTCATCAGGAAACATTACAGAAAGCCCTAGGCACGTGCACCCTTGTAGCTGCTTTTCCTGTCATGACTAGATCTTTCCATGTGTCCTTGTTCTTGACAGATAAGAGAAGATCTTTTTTAAGTACTCCTTGGCTGACACTGACACCTCAATAGACAGATAAAAAGTAGAGAGGTTTCCTCCTCCTGTTTTTCCTCCTCCCATCCACAATTGTCACTTATCTCCCCAGCTAAGCCAATTATAGTGCCTCAGAAGTGTCCCCACGAAGAAAGGGAAGCAGACAAACAGACACCAATTGAATTTCCTACAGGCACTATACAGAAGTTGTTTTGTTCCTGCAACAGAGCCATTACTCACTTGTGTCACTGGTGACTCAACTGAAGACTGAGCCCTGTGAGACAAAAATAATGCAATATTCCTAAAAATTCAGCAGGGATTGCAGAAATTTATTTCATTATCAAACTGCAACCTACTCTTTACTGTTTCAGAAAGCTGTGAAGGAAGAGAAAAATAAGGGAAGAGAAGGAGAAGGCAGTGAAGAGGAGGAAGGAGCAGCATAGGGGAGGGAAGGGAAGAATAACTGACCATCTCTAAACTCCATTGCCTTTGTATACATAGCTGATGCCATCATTACCTAGTAAAAAGAAAAAGATGTCTTTATTTGGACTTCAGTAGCAGCCTGGCCATGGATAAAGACTTCCATTGTGCCAGGCAGGCACTGCATAAATTTTGAATGAAGTGTGGTCTAAGGACGTCCTCTGCAGGAGCCTAAGACTCCTCTGCAGAAAGGAGAAGCATGTCTGTGCTAGCTTAAATCAATCTCATTTGAGCAATAATGTAACAAGGGCTCTGCAATACAAAGTGGACTGTTGGTTAGCTATCCAGGGTACAATTTGCACAGAGGTTCTGCTGCTGTCCAGGGCAGTTAACACAAAGCTACTGGGGGCCTGGGCCCACTTTCCAACTGCAGGTAACACTTCACTAAGAGCGGGAATGAAGAGCAACAAAAAGGACCCAGAAGCCTGCCAAGGACAGCATTCAAAGAAGCTGTCACTAAGTTTGATGCAAACTTTAATGAATAAAACATCTTGTCAGAGTCCTAAAGCATTGTTGGGTCTATGCTCTTAAAAAACTCATGTCTCTGGATCCCTTTCCCACCCATGACGTGGGGAGGCCCAGTTCTAGTTTCATCTCCATCTGAAGAACCATTCCGACGTCTTGAAGGATGGGAAAAGGGAACTCCAGGGGTTTCTTCAGGGGTTTCTGGCCCTGAGCCTGGAGGGGAGAGGTGCCCTCCCCTCCCCCCAGCACCCACGTGGTTCCATGGCAGGCACGGAGACAGTACACCGGGCATGGAGAGGAGGCAAGAGAGAGTTTATTGTTGGGGATGTTACATTTATAGGGTTAGGGAGAATCGCAGGTTAACCAATTAGAAGTCTCAAGGGGCTTACAGGAACACCCAATCACAGGAAGGGGCTAACAAGGTCGAATAAGAAACACCTCAGGACACCTTCCCAGGACATTCCTGAGATAACACTTGTCGTGGGGGGTGTTGGGAAGAAGAAACGTGTTTGTAAAGAGACCACAAAGAGCCATTTTAAGACATGTTTAAACAACAGTTTTCCCATCTAATGCAGGTTTAGTGCTACACATGTCAGTACCATTTCGTTAATATACTTGTTTACTTATATATTTAATATACTTGTTTAATATGCATCAAACCCATACCAGTGAAATTTTTAGAGCAAGTGGCTGTACCTGGCAAAGCTGTGTTTTGGCTAGAAGAATTTGCACCAGTATAATTGTGTGAAATAAGAACAGCTGAAGTACGCAAGGGCTTTTACTGGAAAAGCGGTTTTTGCAGAGCAACTGTATCTGTTACCAACAGATAGCAATATTTGCGTTTGAAAGACCACCCAGCCATAATTCTTTTAAAGTGTATATTTTATTCAGTTTTCATGATATCTTCAACATTTGCATAAGATAAATTGTGTCTGTCCAGCTCTGGCATCCCCTGAATATTGTTTAACAGGGCAGGAGAAAGGAATGTAAGAGGAAAGGGATAGGGAAGGAAGTGATAGTTTTACCTCAATCTTCAAAGAGTGAAACAGAAAACCTTCATTTTTCTAACTACTTCTGATTGCTAACTGAAGGATTTATTTTGTGTGTAAATTTGTATAAATTATCCTTTGGATACAGTGTTGAAAGCATATGAAACTTGTGTAAATGTGTGTGCATCATCTAAAGTGAAAGGTGTGATGTGAAAGATATATTGCTTTGGCTCTCAGCAGATTCATGTGTATTTAATTCCAAAGATGAGAGAACAGGCTTTTACTCTCTCTTTTTATATGCCTAACCTTCAGTTTTCCTAGGCTCCCTGTTGCTTGAAATGGACACCTCAAGCTCCCTTTATTGGAAGACATCCTTCACAAGAAAAGCCGAGGTGATTGTTACGTCCATTTACTTCACCCAATGACTCAAGCTCCTTCCTACAGCCTTTGACAAGACAAAGGTGAAATATCTTTTTGAAGTCCAGTGAGAAGGCATTATGAAGCTATGTTAATATTTGGAGGAGTCATTTCATGTTCCTCCCTGGGCACAGCATCCAACAATTTCAGAAATGTGTCAAACAACAAATGGAAATATAAAAGTTTCCTAATTTTTAAGTAAAACTGTCCCAAAAATGTTTGACAATCAGAAGTGATTAAAGGAGATTGGGGATAATTAAAATTTCAGTGCCTATAGTAAAAAGCAAACAGCTCCTAGTTCCAGTTCAGTAACTAGAAACAGAATTAATGCTCTTTCGTTGGCTAGCCTAGTGACGGAAACATTGGCAGTACTGATTCAGCTCAAGGAAGGTACTTCTAGCAGCCTGCAGTTTTGGGTTTTTTTTCTTAATTCCTTGTTTCAGCTCCTGCTATGTGATGTACTATAATGTATCACCCTGCCTTCTAGGTTAGCCCAGTGAAACCTCTGTGTTGATGACCTGTCCTGTTTACTGCAGAACATTAGCATTCCTATAAGAAACTGTGAATCACAGCAGGTGTTCATCTTCAGATAAGCCTGACTTTCCCTGTATGCACACCTCTTTCTCAGATATAAATGTACAACTTTGCAACTATCCTGGTAAAGTCTTGATGGTTTTTCTGGGTATGTTTTAGTGTTTTGTGTTATTTGGTATTGTTCTCATTAGTTCAGGTTTCTTTCAAAGAATTCACCACCATTCAGGGAGGAGTTCCAGGTTAGAAACACCATGACTATTGCCTGCTGATGTTATGGTTGGGAATAACTGCTTGGTTTGCTCTTACTTGTCCCTTTCGAAGTTGACATATGGAGTCTTCAACCATCCTTGTGAAAAGCATCCCTCCCCATTATGTATTGGAAAATGTACACTTTGGATGATGACATTTGATGGTGCATTCTGGCCATCTGATACCTAAAATTTCTCTTTCTGTTTTTAAGACTGAGCCTCCTTTTTTTTTTTCCAGCACCAGGAGTTTCTTTCATCTGTGATAGCAGATGGTGATCGACCCCTGCTTCAACATCTGGGTACATGATTGTTTCATTCCCAAGCAAAATGTAGCAAACATGCTTTGCAGAGGAGGTCTTGCCCTCCCATCCAATCTCCTTTTCCATTAGATCATCTTAATTAAAACATCAAAAGAAAATTCAGTTATATAATTTCTTGTTGAACACAACAGCTCCTCAGTTAGAGGTAACTAAAATGAAGTGCCAGTGAGAGAGCTGAGTCTTAAATACATGCAATCCCTTTAAATATCTCAGAAAATATAAGTAAGTGAGCAATGATCCCATTAGCCAAGTCCTTATGCTCCTTTTCTACTTTCTGATCTGCATCTGATGCAAGAATTATGTGGTCTGATGCATTTCAGGGCTACTTACCTGTGGTGTACCCTGAAGATTTTTTTTTACAGTACATTATGATTTGATTTACGTTCCATCACTAAGTACTGAAAGAGTTCTTAAAAAACCTTATGTATCATGATGCCTAAAAAATGCAAATTTATAAAAAAGATAAAAAGGCGTGAACTACTGGATTTATTCATTTGTGTGCTGGTTTAAGGGTAAACCAGCAGGGGAAATGAACTCCACTCAAAAGAGAGATTATAACAATTTAATAAAATAATACAATAAGTACGATTATACAGACAAACAATTGGTTTTAACCCACAAAACCCAAATGTATAACCCAGCACCCTGGGGCATGAACAGAGTGGTGTTCTTTGGGCCCCCTGAGTCCAAAGTAAAGGGAAAGGGGGAAAACCTGTTGGTGAGAGTGCTGGTGCAGTCTGGTCAAGGGTGGTGATTGCAGTCTGGTTGAAAAGTGGTGGTTGCAGTCCAGTCGAGAGTGGTGGTTGCAGTCTGGTCGAGAGCAGTGATCTGCAGTCTTCCTCTGGATCCCACGAGTGGTTGCAAAAGTTCCAAGACTCCAAGATTATATATTCTCCAGTTCAGGCAGGAATGCTCAGTACTTCCCTCAGGGCAGGGAGTTCCACAAAAGAGTGTGAGGACAGGGAGGCACCCTCCTATCTCGCAGGCCTCTTAACACCTAGTTTATAGCCTGAGGAGTCAGGCTGCTCTGGGCAGAAGGTGTAAATAGTCTATTGATAACTGTTTCTGGGAAATGGCATGGAAGGCTATAGAATACACAGTTTTGGGTTACACCCATCCAGTGATGAACTGGTCCCAGTTGTTCTAACTAGGACAATTTGTTTTCCCTGAATTCAGGCATTTCCTAACTTCTGAGAAGCAAAACATTTTTGTGATTTTACATCTGGTTACTGCATCATCGGTACACTGATATTGGAATTCTGAACTTGAATGCATAGTAGAGGGATTTTTTGTCAGACTGCTAATGTCTGTTGTGGTGGTTTCACTCTAGGCCTTCCTGGAGACCAACTTGTAACCAGGAAGGAACTAGAAAAGTGATCACGGAAGTATTCCATGCTATTCCTTTACGTAACTTGAGGTGTAAATAAAGCCAGCGGGAGGGACCTCGCTCTCTTCCTTTCCGGCGAGGTTCGAGAACGGTGGGTCCCTGTTTCGGTCGGGCTTATCTGGAGCTGAGGCCTACAGTGACTGCTGTTATCTGCCACCCGTGAGGGGAGAGCCAAGGGCCGTGTCCAGCCATCCTGCCTGTTCGAAGGGAAGTGGTGAGATTTTTGCTAGTTTGCCTTCGGCTGGCTGTTTGACTTGTGCGGTCCTTGCCCCTTTTTGTCCTTCTCCCTTCCTTCCCCCCTCCCCTCCCTCCCCAGTGTGTGGTATTCTCCTTTTGTGTATCTGTCTCATATGTAAAATATATATATATATATATATATATATATATATATATATTTTTTGCTATAGCTTTGGCTGCTTGGTTTTTTTTTTTTCTTTTCCCTCTCTGGGAGGCGGGTCCTTGTTGTCGAGTTTCGGGGGACTTGGCGGGAAGCCAGCTCAAAACTTGCACATCTGTATATTTAATTGCTCTAGTTTGTAGCAGTCAGGTTACAGGAAGGATGCTGGATGAGGCATCCTGGGAAATGAAGTCCCGAAGTACTCCCACACATGGGCAGAGAGATACCCTTGGTAATTGGCCAAGGGAGTCACACGTCACTTTGAGGTGGATATGAAAGGTGTCGTCTCATTTGAATAAAAAGGATTTAGTGTTGAACCCCCAACCAAGCTAGCTGGGTCTGTGTAATTTATTTATGTATTAATACGCCACATCTGGCACCCAACGTAGGCAGAATCCTGTATCAGGGACAATTAGAGACTGCCTTGTAACAAGGAAAAATTTCAGTAGTGTTTGGACGGGTTTGTTTTAAAAACTTGGAATGCTTTTCTCCAAAAAAAACCCAGACATCACATACTGAGCTAAAAAAGCAGGCAGAAAACGTCTTTAAAGAAAAGACGTCGGGAACCAGTGCGAAAAGCCGACTGGGACGTCATGCAGGGACCACGTGGAGCTCTGAAAATATGAGTATTGTGCACATGAGAAACCTGGCAGAGTAAGCCTTGAAAGACAGAAAAAGCAAAGCTACAGAGAATTAGAGGTGAGAAGCCGGCATGGAAAGTTAAAATGCAAGGGAAATGATAGAAATAACTAGATCAGGATTCCCGCTAAGCAAAAGTCCTCCTTAGTGTGACTGCTTGGAAAAAATTTGGAGAGACAGCTCCACAGAAAGCAGAGATAGAAGGAGCAGACACTTTAAAAATCTCACAGAGAAACTGAAACTCGTCCATGGAGCAAACTTTAAACCTTTTGTTCACCCCACCAGCCCTAACAGACAAAGGACTCCCCAAGACACCAGGAGCAGACGTGGGGGTGAGAGAACCGCGTGCAAATCTAAAGGACCCAAAAACAAAGGACTTGGGCTGGGTTTTATGTGGGCAGAAGCAAACACGTGGCACGCACTGCCTGATTGTTAGGGAAAGAGTCCATGAGGCACTGCCACGCTGCAGCCACGTGGAGGCCACGCTGCAGCCTGAGAATCACCATCTTGCTCACAGCTAGCTTGTCGAGTGTCCCAGCTTGAGGAAGCATGCTTAAAGCATGTGATCCGGAAAGCAAAGAACCAGCAGAGGACACCGGGAGGGAATCGATTTTGCCTCCTCCGAAAAAAGGACAAGCACTCAGCAGCGCAGGGACAGACCGCTGCCCCTGCACCGGCTGCCTTCGCTGTTAAAAAAGCCTGCCGGACCCGCTGCAGTCCACAGGAACAGAACCGAAATCCCTTAAACAAACGCCAGCTAGAACACCTGCGGGTGATCAAAGCGGCGCGGGGTTTCAAAAGCACTGTTCGGGCTGGAGCGGCAGCGGAGGCGCGGGACCCATGGGCCAACATTCCCCACTCAGCCCTGGCCCGGCGCGAAAGCTGCGGGGCTGCGGAACATCGGCTCCGGCTGCGTGGGAGCCGGGGGGGCTGGGGCCGCTCCGAAACAGCTCCAGCTGTGCGGGACGGGACCCAGAGCCAGCCAGCGGTGGCAGCGGCTGTGCGGAGCCGAGCGGGGACGGGAGTGGGGCCGCCTGAAACCAGGGCGAGTGCGGGCCCGGGCCATGGCCATGGCAATGGCAGCAGCCGGCGGGGCCGGGGCCGCACGAACTGCGGACAAACGGCAAAGCCCTGGACAGTCTGCCGCGAACGGGGGGGAGACAGTGCAGCCCCCACCCGGTGCCGATAGGAGACCCCCCTGCGGGGTGGCTCCTGTGGCCCGCGGTGGAGAAAGCAAACAGCAGAGCCGAGCACGGCGGCTTGTGCTTGTAAGCCAAGCTCTGGGGAGGCCGGGGCTGAGAAAAACGGCGACATCCTTTGTGCTGAGACAGAGCAGGCTGAACTTGCAAACAGCTTAACTGAGCCTCCTGCAACCTCACAGCTACGGCATCATGCTGTGAGCTCTCCTGAGATATATACAGAGCTAAGTTAACATTGTATTTTGTTGTTTTGTATCTTGTCTTGAAACCTTTGGTAAGAACACTGAAACTTTAAGGTTTTGTTTCTAAGTTTCATTAATTCCCCAGTGACTCTGCTTAAATTGTTAAGCTTGTTAAGGTTGTTAAAGTTGTTAAGCTTTAAAGTGCACCTGAATAGATGCAGTTGTTGTGACGGTTTGGTTCAAGTGTTTAAAAAGTCTTAAGCCTCTCCATACACTGTTAATTAACGCATTCAGATGTTGTTTATCCCAAGAAGGTGTGCATAACGTCAGCAAAAATGCAAGGGTAGCTACTTATGAGTCATAACTATCTAAGAGGCTGAGTTAAAACTAATCGTGATAGCTCTAACCAATATAATTTAAGAAATTGTTAAAGTTGTTAAATTCTTAAATACATTTACATCTATTAGTAGAACCTCTGTTAATAGAAAGCCCTTCGCAGGGCTATCAGTTTCTCGAAGCTGGGAAAAGTGAATTTTGTTTTTTGCCCCTATCTCTGGGAGGGGGGAGAAGAGTGACGCTTTTAAAAAACGGAGATGTTACTGCTTATGTAATAGCGAGCATTTGTTTCCTGGCAAGTAGGTGGAGAGAGATTTTGTCATCTCCAGTCCTTGTCCCAGTCCCTGTCCTAGATGAGGGAAAACAAAGTATAACAAACTGAAATCTCCCCCCATTACCCAGTTTAACCCTCTTATTCACTGTTTAACTTGTACCACTATGAGGAAAGGAAGTTTTCTTTGTTGTCTGAAACCCTTAAAATAGTCTTTTGAGTTTGTCTTCACAAAACCAGGACACTAGACGCCTGCCTGAGCAAACAAGACAAACTGCTTTCAGTGAGAATGAAGAAAACTTTCCTGATTCCTGTGATATCTACGAATGAAAACTCTCAAAGATTGGAAACTGTGGAGTGGGAAGCACTGAATGCTTGCAAGTGCAAAATCTTCTAGTGCCAACGTGGTAAAGAGTTTGATTTTGTTATTAAGATAATGTTCAAAATGTTTATTCTCTATTTTCTAATTGTTTCAGCAAGTGAAAGCATTCCCTGATAATTTATATAAAGACTTATGTAGGATTTCACGTGAAGATTGAGAATGGTAAACACGTATTTGATCCCTTCTGCCCTTACAGCATTAAAACATGCAACACATAGAGTTACACACAGCCTTCAACCTTGAAGTAAAAAAACAATAAAAGCATAAAATGACTTCTTGCTTTTGCATCAAGCTCCAGCAAAAGGCAACTTTGAAGTAAAAGACACTGAAAAGCCATCAAATTATTTAAACTGCTTTACTTCAAAAAAACCCACCATTCCTGGACAAAAAACTACAGAAAACCTACATGTTTGCTTAACCTCTACATCTAGCATACTAGCCACCTGAGACTGTTTAAATTGTTATTAACATGTTTGTTAAGTTGTTATTAAGGGCAAAAAGCAGCTAACAGAAATGGATGGACAAAAACTGAAAATTAACTGCATCCCAAACTGAGAACAGCTTAGACTGATTGCTTACAAAAGATGCTA